TAGGAGTCTGATTTTGCTTTGCTAAAGTAAGTAAACTTTGCTTCCTTTTCTTCCTATAAACAAACTCGCGAGACTAGCATATCTCAGAGGCGCGCGCGCTGCGCATACGTCATACACCTTCCACCGGAACGCCTTCTGCGTATGACCGATAACGGAAGTGAGAGAAAAGTGTTTATTACGTTTGAAATATGGATATTTTTCTTACAAAAATGCATGGATTCACTACAGAAGGCCTTTATTCATCTTCCAGAGCCGTGTGAGGCACGTTTTATTATGAATGCGTGCGCTTTATTTGACGACTTGTGGACTTTTCAACTGCAACACCCCCTGACTGCAATGACAGAGCTTGGAATAGCCAGGACAATTTTTAATATAACTCCGACTGGATTCGTCTGAAAGGAGAAAGTCATATACACCTAGGATGCTTCGAGGGTGAGTAAAACACAAGCCAATTTTCATTTTTGGGTGAACTAACCCTTTAAAATGGTGATTTTTCCCAACTGTATCCATTACTTAAAATCATAATCGTGAAATAATCTGTTGAATTGAGATTCAATACATTTTAGTAAAAAAAATGTTTTTTAAATGTTTAATTACCAACAATATTATTGTCCTATTTTATTGATTGATAGATTTAGTATTTGTTAGTCAACGTTTGTTGATAGAAAATTACAAAATTGCCCAAATCCAGAAGTAAAACTGCATTTAAGCATGTCGGGCTTTGTCTGACAGGGTTGCAAAAACTGCACAACTCAGAAATTATATAGAAAATAAAACAGCTCATATAATATTGAGTTTGACCTCCTGAGGTTGGCAGTTCATAATTTCTGAAGGTTAAGAGTTTTACGCCCCATTTTGTACCCTGTATTTCTGTGCAACACTTACACAAGACTGCTTCTCTATGACAAATTGTTGTCCCTGTTCTTGGCCTTCTGCATGGAGAGCAGTTTTCTGGGTCTTTATTTTCCTCTTTTTCTCTGAGGAGTAATACCTCAGCTGTCTGCTCGCCGAGTTGCGATTTTCTCCGGTAATTATTAGCTGTTACGCTGAAACGCGGTGTGTTGGTTGTGACAATAAAAAACACATTTTTCTATGTCTGACATGTGGGTGAATTAATAAAAACAATGATTTCTTTAAAGAGATCTGGTAAAACCAGACTGGCTCATTATAATTAAACAGGGACAGCTACGTTCAGTTGCTCTTATATATTGTCAGACTGGGCATTTAGCTAGGAACCATCTCTCAAATGAACTGAATAGAAATTGTATTGCTCTGCTAAGGGAGGATTACAACAAATAATTCTGAATATTAAAAGAGATAAATGTGCAAATCTATTGTCTCAAACTGTATTAGCAAATCTGAATTGGTTTGAGTTTCAAGCCTAAACAATGTGTGAGAGGTGGAAACATAACAGAAAATACATTCAATCTGTCTTTTATCAGAGCGTTACCCATCTGTAGAACCACATAAGCCATATAGTTTAACAGGACATAGATTTCACACTAGAGTTTTACACTAATAGTTCCATATCTGGCCATTTTTTGCTCTTAACAGACTCTACAAACTTGATCGTGACTAGCCTGCTGAAGTCCTTTTCAAAACCAGTCTAGAAATGTGGTCCAAAAGCTATAAAGTAATAAAGGCAAAATTCAATATTTTAGTCAATTTTAAAGCAAGTCAATAACAGAAACAGGAACCATGAACTACATCTAAATTCAGATGGAAATGATAAATTATAAAAATGTTCAAGTCACAGCCACAGCCCTCAGTCTGGTAAATAAGAATGTTGTTTCATCCAGGTATGTTGTGAAATTGTGATAAGCTTGATCTGTATGTGAAGATGCATATGAATGTTCTTTTAAACATATTGAGAAGGAATAGATGAAGATTATTTTCCTTTTTAACACCCCTCATCCCCATTTTTTCTCAGGCATAATGGCTGATAAAGATAAAGATGTGCCAGTGGTTGAGGATGAAGATGAGCCAGATCTGAACTACCAGCCTCCGGCTCAGAAGAGCTTGCAGGAGATCCAGGAACTGGACAAGGATGATGAAAGCCTGAACAAGTACAAGCAAACCCTCCTGGGTTCTGGACCTGTGGTGGCAGGTTAGTATACCTTTACTAAAAACCAGGGAAATATTTTTGAAACACCTTACTGTATGTGCACACTATTCATTATAAATATAATTTATACACTACAGTTCAAAAGTTTGGGGTCAGTAAATTGTTTTTTTAAGAAATTAATACTTTTATTCAATAAGGATGCATTAAATTGATCAAAAGTGACAGTAAAGACATTTGTAATGTTAGTTGGTTTTAATGTTAGTTTTATCACATAAATGTTGTTTTAGTTATCTATATAGCAATACTGGAAAAAATGTATGATGGTTTCCACAAAAATATTAAAGGGGTAGTTCACCCAAAAATGATAATTAGCCGTTAAACGTTATAACTACTTTTCTGTGGTTCGTGTCGTACACGAAAGCCGTTCCGGGATGACGTAGGCATGGCATAAGCGCCTGTGAAAACCAACATTTGTTTACAGGAGCAAAGGAAACAAAGTTTTCTTACTTTAGCAAAGGAAAACCAGTGTCCTCTTGGCTTATATCGAAATCCTCCAACATTTTTCTTTACAAATCCAAGTTTTGTACTTCTAATTCATGACCAGTGTTTTGTTTTGTTCTCTCCTCTCTGCTTCAGCGTTCGTCACTTCTCACCGGCGCATGCGCTACGCCTACGTCATCCGCCCGGAATGAATGCGCGTACAACAGTTGCTGAAGCTAGAGATCACTGTTTATAAAATACAACTACGGTGGCCGAGAGAGCTCAACGCGCTGCAAATGAAAAAAACACAGGCAAATAGAAAAAAAACACCTGCAAATTAAGAAAACATTTGACAACACAAATTCTCACAACACATCCAAATACAGAAACGCGCGGCAAATTCTAACAACACAAATAAATACAGAAACGCGCTGCAAATTTTCACAACACAAACAAATACAGAAACGCGCTGCAAATTCTCACAACACAAACAAATACAGAAACGCGCTGCAAATTCAAATTAAGAAAACTTCTTCATCAATTTGACAACACACGCGCTGCAAATTCTCACAACACAAACAAATACAGAAACGCACTGCAAATTCTCACAACACAAAGAAAGAAACGCACTTCCCTTAAACATTTCCGATGTGGTCTGTGCATATTTGCAGCGCTTTTCTGTTTTTGTTTGTTTGTTTTGTATTTGCAGCACGTTTCGTTGTTTGTGTTGTGAGAATTTGCAGCGCGTTTCTGTATTTGGCTGTAGGGGTGTGCGATATATATCGTCTGCGATAATATCGTAATTGTTGTTTTAACAATGTGCGATTTGACATTATCGAGTATTTTGCAAAAACCATTCAAAACATCCCTACAGAGCTCAGGCATACATTACGTGAAGTCTAGACTAGTGCGTGTGCGCATTTAGTGTGTTTTCTTTCACTGCATGATTCAGTCTATTAAAATGCATTTAGAATGATCACAAATTCAAGACATGAAGTCAGCTGTCATCGGCAGTCCTTAAGGTACCAAGCACAATAACACACTCAGCAAAATATCGTCTAATTATCGTTATCGATAAAATCCCATAAAATATCGAGATATAATTTTTTGTCAATATCGCACACCCCTATTTGGCTGTGTTGTGAGTATTTGCCGCGCGTGTGTTGTCAAATTGATGAAGTGGTTTTCTTAATTTGCAGGTGTTTTTCATTTGCAGCTCGCTGAGCTCTCTCGGCCACCGTATAAAACCCATATTTATAGATGCACACAAATAATGAATGTTACAAAAAATCTCATCTTCTGAAGATTGCATTGTCTTCATGGTTAAAGCTATAGCTCAGCTCTCCAGGGACAGCTCTCTCTTTTCCTCTTGCTGTCTAGCCGGATTCAGTTCCCCTGGGACTCCAGTCTTGGTTCAAAGTCCCCAAACAATATCCTCTTATCTCAGAGAATAAATGAGAAGGTGGCTACCACTTAGTCTGAAGAGCATGTCTTTGAACTGCTTTGTTGTTTAGAGAAACATGAATTATGATTCCACTCACTGTGTAACGCCAGATCATTTGCATTTGATATTCTGTACTGCTGTACAATGTATTAATTATAAGATCAGTTATTGTATTTCTCGCTCAGTTAAGGAGTGAAATAGCTTTGTCTCTTTTCTGTTTCCCATCATGAAGAATTGTTTATGTGATATTATGATCAAAGCCCAGCATTTCTAATTTCTTTTACCACAGGGAAAATCCAAATATGCACTATAAATCCTTTAAGTGTGAACTGGAAATACTTACTGATGCAGTATTGCTAAAGGCATAAAAGGCAGATTAATTTCCTCTTGACGGCTACCACTTAGTCTGAAGAGCATGGCTTTGAACTGCTTTGTTGTTTAGAGAAACATGAATTATGATTCCACTCACTGTGTAACGCCAGATAATTTGCATTTGATATTCTGTACTGCTGTACAATGTATTAATTATAAGATCAGTTATTGTATTTCTCGCTCAGTTAAGGAGTGAAATAGCTTTGTCTCTTTTCTGTTTCCCATCATGAAGAATTGTTTATGTGATATTATGATCAAAGCCCAGCATTTCTAATTTCTTTTACCACAGGGAAAATCCAAATATGCACTATAAATCCTTTAAGTGTGAACTGGAAATACTTACTGATGCAGTATTGCTAAAGGCATAAAAGGCAGATTAATTTCCTCTTGACTCACAGGGGCTTAGAACGTTTGATTTAGTTTGATTTACTCACCCTCATGTCATTCCAAACCTGTATGTTAAGACTGGTGTTATTTAAGTATTATTTATATTTTTTTTATTTAATTCAATTTTATTTTTATATTAGCAGTTTTAATTGTAATTTTGGTTTAATTTTTTTTTAAATTTTGTTAAGACCTTTTGTAATTTGTAATATTAATATTTAGTTAAATTTAGAATTTAATTTTTAGTTTATATTTATTTCCAGTTAGTACTTATTTTGGTTAGTTACCAAGGCAACATTTCTAATTGACAAATGATAATGGTCAGTGCATTATTAAAAAATTCTCCTTTTGTGCTCCACAGAGGAAAAAATATGGGTCACGAGGGTGAATAAATGATGATTAATTTTTCTCACTGGGACTGAAAACACTGGAAATATGAAGCAGGTTGGACGTCCATTAATTTGCCATAAGATTTCCTCAGATATAATAGCGAGATTGTGCCAGGGTGATCAGTCATGTTTGAGCATGCGGTCCCCGAGTGAGCGACTCGGAGCGAGTGATGCCAGCAGCGGGTAGCGGTACTTGTAGACATCAACGAATGTTTAACTGTAGTTCCCACTTTCAAAACCAGCCCACCCTGCATCAATAACACTGCATCAATGAGACCTGTCCAACAATTTGCTATGTGCAGTTTTACACCGCTAGCTCCCTCTTGGCGTTGCAGAAACAATCATTCAGTGGAACAGCAGAGTTAAGCGCCTAATTTAAGCTAGTCACCAGCCCCGCGTGCTTTATGGGACAACTTCTTCGACATATGGAAGTTCACACATCAAACCCTCACTCTCGTGTTGTTTCCCTCAAGTTGTCAGAGCTTTGGTGGAGGGGAATAGAGATTTAAATGCCACTTATTACATCACACAAGCCATTGTATGCCTTCAGACAACTTGAAATATAGCGTATGAACCGCTTTTATAGCGCTTTTGTGGTGCTTTTTGGGTGTTCTTTTGTCCTTTTTTGGAGCTTGACAGACATAGTCACAATGCACTATTGTTGTATTGAAAAGATTCAGAAATTCTCCTTTTATGTTCCAATGAATTACAGCGTGCAGGTTTGGAATGACATAAATAATGACAGCATTTTCTTTTTTGGGTGAACTGTACCTTTAAGGGGTGTGTCAGCTGCAGTTCTATCACAGTTAAATGTGCTGAGACTGCATGCTGGGGTCAATAACCTGCAGCAGCTCTGTGTCCACCTAAACCCTGTCAGGCCCGATCTATTTCTGTAATGGGTGGCACTCCTAGACACAAGTAACTAAGGAGGGAATGCATGGCAGTTCATTAGCAACGCTGACTGACAAGACTTTAAATGCCTCCTTATCTCATAATGAAGATGTTTGTATGTTTGTGAAAGACACTGTAGCTCTGTTCCATAACCTAGTGAGCTGAATTTTAAAGAAGTGATGGCACGTTCCTGACTCAAAGGCTGTTGTAAAAATAGGCAACGTAATTGTGCTGCCTTTCAAGATGCATTTTTTTCCCCAAATTCTAAGGCAACATTGCAGAAAAGGCAACTACGGAATATATTGCAGCAGGTTCAGTGAAAAATTTGATCCAAGATGGCGGATAAATAATGACTTTAAAAATAGCTACTGCATAAATATTTTGTTCTCTTCCTAAAATTATTGATAAAAATTGTTGGATGGTTCATTTAAACAATATTTTTGCTGTATAGTTTTATTATTAGAGTATCATCTTGTTAGCTTAGCAATATGCTAATGTTTACTGTTGAAATCAATTTTACCCGATATTTGTGTGTATTTTTTACATGTATTTTCATGAGTAATTAGAGAATTATTCCATTAGCTTAGCAACATGCTAACGTCATACTGTTGAAATCAATTTTACCCATTTTGAGTATCGTTCTGTTAGCTTAGGAACATGCTAATGTCAAACTCAATTTAAATCAGTTTTATCTAATATTTGTATGTATTTTTTTTATAGACTATAGCTATGTTTCCATCACCCTATTTTAATGCGCATTTTGAAGTATCACATGAGAAACGAGTGATGGAAATGCCGAATTTCTAATAAAAATCCCTTAATTCGCAAAAAAGTTTTTACGCTCACTTGAGGTGGTTTTTGACTTATGCGAAAAAGGGTTGATGCAAATAATGGGAGATGGAAATGCATTTGCGAATAAATTCCTCCAAGTGCATCAAAAAAGTCATGTGACTTTGTGCTATGGGACGGCAAAACCTGACTAAACAGCGGACCGATCTCATTCCACAGCATCTAAAATGTTGTTATGGTCATTCGGAAATGCACGAGCAAAGTCTGTCATCAAATTATTTCTGTTATAATTGCCTCCCAGAAATGTCTTACAGTCACGACTGCGTTCCCAAACAGCAGCATCCACCTCCGAAAGCAATGACCGCATTCATTGTGTTTCGTCTGCTCGCTCTGAGGCGCAAGTAATTTATTATATATGAAAATTTAATTCTCCTACTTTTCTTAGTGATTTATAGTGCCAGTTTATCAGGAAGTGACGTACCAGGAACCAGTTTTGCGCATAAGTTAAATTCGCAACTTTGGATGGAAACCCGGCTTATGATATTTTAGCTTAACAAAATGCTCAGTTATCAATTATGAGTCCTGTGTTATCAATTATGTGATCCTGTGCTGCCTATGTAGAGTGTTCTTAATCAATCCATGAGCATTAGGATGCCGTCTATGTTGGCTGTAGGAATTAAGTCAGCTCACTCAGTTTTGGAGCACAGCTTTTCATATAGACGACAGATAAAACAAAGGAAATGAGTGTGAATTGTATGGCTGGAAAGAGCCGTCTTTTCACAAACCTGAAATGATGATGTTCATGTGCACATACCTGAGATGATTAATGTGTATTATTTACACACTGACTGGTCAGTTTGTTTCAGGTGCACATGAAGGCCCTGTTTCCCCCTTCCCATTTTCACTCAATTTAGTCTAGTCTAAGTGTCTCCTCTCTGGTCTGAGACACATGCTGAATGCATGGATGAATTGGCTTGGAGGATTGACTGGGCCAGTAATGCTGGATAGACAGGATACGCAAGAATGGGCAGATTCTGGTATTTTTCCTCAGCCAGACTTGCAGTGCTACTGACAAGAATGATAACTCAAATTGTGCAGAAGATGTGCGCTATTACTTTTCGAAGTGATCAGACTTACAGTTTTTACCTGGTGAACAATAAAATGGGCAAGAAAGTAATGCAGACTTAAAATGAAGGAGAATTCTTAGTCATGTCTTAGAATATCTTGGCTTTTGCCAGTAAGCAGCCACCTAGAAACAACCTAGCATTATATAGCACTGTGCTAAAACCACTCAGAACACCTTAACAACCAAATACAACTGTTATTTAACCAGAAAATCACCTTGGTCTAAAAGAGATGCAGCTGCACTGCATGCTGACAATATTACTCCCAGTAAACACTCCCAGTCATACCGTTGAAATCAACATGGTCAAATATTTTTTTTCACAAAAGAAACAAGGATACTCTGATGAATAAGTGGGTTTATCCCAGTACAGCTAGTTTAAGTACAGTTTAATAATAAATGTAGAGGTGACATTTTTTCTGTTTCTCATCTGTTTTATTAATTGCATTGTAGATCCCAGCATTCCTAATGTTCAAGTGACCAGACTCACTCTGATGTGTGACCAGGCCCCTGGACCCATCACCATGGACCTGACAGGTGAGTCTCATGAGAACAATTATCCAACAAGTGATTTATAATTCACACATAATCCAGTTCACTTAAAAATGAGGGCTGTCGATCAATTAAAAATATCATTGACTTAATTATTCAGATTTATCAGAAATACAGATACTGACTGTGACAGTCCCTTGAATGGGATTGTTGTATTTCTTTTATTTGAATATATTATTTTTATTATGTTGCACACAATATTTTTACATTATTAATTGTACTAAAGTAATACTACACTGACCAGTGTTATTTATTTTGGTATTACTTATACCATTTAGCATTTATTAATATTTTAAAATTTAGCCTTTTCAGTTTTCGTTTTAATTTTAGTTATGGTTTAGTAAATTTATATGATTTTTTGTTTTTGGTGTTTTTAGAAATATTTCTATAGAGCTTTAATTGATTTTTATTTCAGTTTAGTTTTAGTAATTTTACTACTTCGACTTAAGTTGCCAAGGCAACATTTCTAATTTTAGTTTTTCATCTAATATGTATATATTACTTTATTTCAGTTTTATTTCAATAAATGAAATCAAATGAAAATAATTTTTAATAGTTCACTTTTAGTTAACAATAACAACACTGACATTGACAGCCCTATTTCAAATCAGTAGCTTCCACGTTGCATGATTAGTATTCGTAGGATAATAGTTGTGTGGGTTGAGGTAAGTGGGTTGAATCTGCGGTCTCTAATGTCCACACAAAGGCTTCTGGTCAAGAGCTGGAAGGGCATGTGCTTAGTTGACACTATTGACAGAGGCTCAGCAGCTCTGCACTGCATTCTAATGCTTCACCTCCCCTGCCTTCAGAGGGATGATGTCATTCCTTCCACTGCCAGCCAACACCACGCAAGCAGATCTGCAACACAAATCAACGTGCACTGCTGTGTATGTAACCACGTCCCGCCTCCATACACTGGAGGGGACTGTCGGGTCTTTTGATGGTCAGAGCAGGTTTCTGCCGCTCTCCTTTGCCCTCAGCCGGTTCGACAGTGTATTCCTCTCTTTAACAGCGGGAACACGGCAAAAGGGCACCTGGTTGCTAGGCGATGGGATGATTCTGGGCTGTTTAAGTCTGAGCTTTAAAGTTAGAAGACCTTTTCAGATATAAAATCTGTAACATCATTCACAGCGTAAAAAAGCTATGTACCAGCATGTTTCCTCTTTTAGAACAAAACCAGAAGTGACTCTGCTGTTTGAGTTGGTACAGGAAAGCGTTGCCTTCTAACATAGAGTAGTACATTGTTGCACTTTTGTGTGTGCACTTCCTGTTTAGCAACTTTTATTCTAAAATTACCTCGACCCTGACACAAGGGGAACAAAACACGGTTCCTTTCTTCATTGGCACCCTGATGGTGGATTAGATGTTCATTTTAGCTAACCTTGTATGACACTGACATTTTTTTTTTTTTGGCAGTGATAGTTATTGTTCTTTTATAAATATATCCTTTTAGTTTCATCAATATTTTGTCACAGCATATTCATAAATTACAGAAAATGATTATTAATAATAATAACAACAACAATATTAGTAATAATCAATGTTTCTTGAGTATCAAATCAGCACATTCAAATGATTTCTGAAGGATCATTTGACACTGAAGACTGGAGAAATTACAAAAAAGCTGAAAATTCAGCTTTGACAACACAGGAGTTAATTATCTTAAAGTATATTAAAAAAGAAAACAGTTATTTTAAGTTGTAATGATATTTCACAATATTACGGTTTTACTGTTTTTGACCAAATAAATGCAACCTTGGTGAACATAAGACACTTACTTCAAAAGTATAAAAAGCATTACCCCAAACTTTTGAATGGTAGTGTACTGTATATTAAATTATTTTTTTAAGATGCAGGTTTTTGCATTGAAATTCTGTGCTACAACTTTAAATTCACCTCAATCCATACATATAAACAGTTTTCACAGTGCAAGAAACTGCAGACAAACAGCATAAGATCTTGCTCTGAACTGTAAGCAGGAGCACATTAGCGATCTGGGATCCAGGAACGCAGTTGTGACAGAGTCCTGCTGTAAGTGACAGCCGAGCATGGCACCTCACGTTGGGACGTCCACTGGGATGGAACACACTAACCAGACTGAGTTTTTGATGGATGGGGCTGGGCTGCTCTGCTGACGTTCAGATTAGAGCAGCAGGAAGCCAGACCTTATCACAGTGCTCTTAATTGAATCTGAATAGTGAGTCCACATCTGAGCAGTCGAATATTTTAGCACAGAGGATGCACTCTTAAAGGAATAGTTCACCCTAAGGGGAAGTCGTGGCCTAATGGTTAGAGAGTCGGACTCGTAACCCAAAGGTTGTGGGTTCGAGTCTCATACCGGCAGGGATTGTAGGTGGGGGGAGTGAATGTACAGCGCTCTCTCCCACCTTCAATACCATGACTGAGGTGCCCTTGAGCAAGGCACTTGCTCAACTGCCCAACTGCCCAACTGCTCCCCGGGCGCTGCAGCAAAAATAGCTGCCCACTGCTCCGGGTGTGTGTTCACGGTGTGTGTGTTCACTGCTGTGTGTGTGCACTTTGGATGGGATAAATGCAGAGCACCAATTCCGAGTATGGGTCACCATACTTGGCCACATGTCACATCACTCACTAAAAATAAAAAATTCACTGAAAATGTACTCACCCTCAGGTTATCCAAGATGTAGATGTGTTCGTTTCTTCATTGGAACTGATTTGGAGAAATTTTGCATTATCACTTGCTCTCCAGTGGATCCTCTGCAGTGAATGGGTGCCGTCAGAATGAAAGTCAAAACAGCTGATAAAAACATGACTGCACACGGCTCCAGTCCATCAGTTACTGTCTTGTAAAGCAAAAAGCTGTGTTTGAAAGAAACAAATCCATCATTAAGTAGTTTTAACTTTAAAACGTTGCTTCTGGCCAAAATACCAGTCCAGAATCCATAAAAAGTTTCCCTTCTCTGAAAAAGCCCATCCCCTGTTGTCATCTCACATCAAGTTTTTCAATATAAAATGCAATATTATAAAACGGATAGTTCCGGTCCTTGAGTCTGATTGGTTGAGAATCAACCAATCAGTTCGAAGCTGTTGTAAAACGGATAGTTCCGGTCCTTGATTCTAATTGGTTGAGAATCAACCAATCAGTTCGAAGCTGTTGTAAATTACTCTACAAACACACACCTTTGTTTACATCTGTGTGTTGCTCGGCAACCACTTTGTTGCAACCACAACTGTTTCTGAGGAACTACATTGTTTGGTGGAAGAATAATGTTTTTATTTATATCGTTACACTTTATTTGCTCTGTTTTATTCTGTGAAATCTTACTACGTATATGGAATAACCGTTATATAAAAGCAATAAGCCCCGTGAAGCTGTGGTTTACAGTGAATTAATAACAGCTAAGGGGCGTTGTTAGGCACGACGTGAAGCTTGGGGCTTATTGCTTTATTATGGGTATATTTTAACCAACAGCAATGGTTTTGAAATTAAAAATGTCTTGATGTATTTGTTTATTACAAACATACAGCTTTTCGCTTCACAAGATGTTAATTGATAAACTAGAGTTGTGTGGATTACTTGTGGATAATTTTAATGTTTTTATCAGCTGTTTGGACTCTCTTTCTGACGGCACCCATTCACTGCAGAGGATCCATTGGTGTATAAGTGATGTAAAGTGAAATTTCTGCAAATCTGTTCTGTAAATTATAAGCAAATTTAAATTTTTAGGTGAACTATTACTTTAACCCTGTTGGCTTTTTATTTGTGCTGCTTTATTAAATTTTGAGTCTTTTCATGAGCTGTACTTTGCAAATATAAATTAATGAGCTATTTGGCAGTTCCAATTCAGCTTACCGTCACATTTATATGGATGTGAAAATATTGATTTAAAAATTCAGAACCATTTTGTCCTTTCTTGGCAATGCAGGAACCGGATCTTTTAGTGAAGCAAGATTTAGTGAGTTATGTTGATGGTGATGAGGTGTCTGTGTTGATCGCTGCAGCAGTGGGAGTGAGGGTGGAACGGGGCACTCGCATTCTCACCCCGTGCCAGATTGCAGCTCCTCCAGACTGCTAGAGCCTCCACTGGGATCTTCCTTATTATCCATCTCCATCTATGCTCTCTTGCTGCTGCTGTGTGCTGCTGCTGCAAACAGCATACCAACTACAACTTCAGCAAACTGTGTTCATAACCAACACCCCTGAATCTTCAATCACAGGGAGAGAGTGAACACATATCTCCCTCATGAACCTTCTCTCTCACAGTTACAATTGTTTGCAAATTAAAGAGAAGAAAACACCTATGAAAATAGCTTTAGGTTTATGCAAATTATTCAGAAATACTTGACATACAGGTTGACCTCTAATTAAATTTAAATCTAATTTAAACCTGTGAATGAACAAAGTTTATTTTAGAAATACACACATAACAGTTCAAATGTTTGCGGTCAGTAATTTTTTGGAACAAATGAATACTTCTATTCAATAAAGATGTATTAAATTGATTAAAACAGACAATATATATACAGTGGGTACGGAAAGTATTCAGACCCCTTCAATTTTTCACTCTTTGTTATATTGTGTGTATATATATATATATCTTTATTACAAAAGATTTTTATTTCAATTAAATTCTGTTCAAATAAACTTTGTTCATCAAAAAATTAAAAAAGAAAAATCCACAAAAATATTAAGTAGCAAATCTGCTTTCAAATATGATAATAATAAGAAATGGTTCTTGAGCACAAAATCAGCATATTAGAATGAGTAATGGCTGCATAAAATTCAGCTTTGCCATCACTGTAATTAATTACATTTTAAAATATATTCAAATAGAAAACAGTTATTTTAAATTATATTGATATTTCACAATATTACTGTTTTTATTTTATTTTTAATCAAGTACATACAGACTTGGTAAGCATAATGTGTGATATGGACAGACAGATCTAGTTTACATATAAGTGGAGCTAATCACCATGTCGTAAGGAGATCACACACGCCACGATTCAACGCTCACTGTCACAGATATGGACTAATTCTCTAAAACTAGTATTAAAGTTGAGATGTGGAGCGCAGGACACTAATGAACATATGGCGCTTTTCCACTGCGTGGTACGACTCGGCTCGGCACGGCTCGGGTTGGTTTGCGTTTCCACTGCAGTTCAGTACCGCTTTAGAGTGGGCGGGATTATTCACATGTCGTTATAGTTGCGCCGCCTCTATTGCTGCGACTCCTGAAAAACTTTTTCATTTCGCGTCGCTCCATCAAGCTTTCGCTGGATCCGCTCCTCTGCTATAAACGAGAGGAACGTCTGTACTTCCTCAACAGACAACGAAACAGCCACTTTTTGGTTGTTAAAAAAGGTGCGCTTGTTCAAAACAGTTGCGTTCGATCCTTCGCTGGCTGTGCTGATTTAAATCTAGCAGTTCTTTTGTGTTTGTGTCGCAAGTTCAGTGACGCAGGTAGTGACGATTCTCTCCGGCCAATCCGTGATCAGCAGAGTTTACACGTCACGTTTTGGTAACGGTACGGTTCGCTTGGAACCTCAACTGAGGTGGTACTAAAAAAAGTACCAGGTACTGTACCCAGTGGAAAACCCCCCAAAAATGAACCGTACCGAGCCGTACCGTGCCGTACCATGCAGTGGAAAAGCGCCAATAGTCTGGCATTTGGCATCATGTGAATAGCCCACAAATCATCGTTGATGTTGTTCATTGTATCAATCTCCGACTTCTTCTTCCTCCCCGTCTCTTTCAGTATCCATTACAAAACACTTAGGGCAGATTCAAGGGATAAATTGATAACGCAGCAGTTGCACTTTTGTAAGGAAGCTCTTTGCATTGAACTGAGTTGAACTACAAGCAGAAGGATGCGACCTGCAACATAAGAAGCTCACATTTACAATTCTGACATTGATTTATGCTGTATTTCTATAAAAACGTGATTATAACCATGTTAAATTGCAATTAATTTCACTCTGGCTGATGTAAATACATTTTTTGGTTTATTTTTGTTTACATAGGTGACCTCGATGCTTTGAAGAAGAAGAACTTCACCATGAAGGAGGGAGTGGACTACAGGGTGAAAATCCACTTCAAGGTGAAAAATCTGATTTTTGAACACAAACAGTATGCAGGTTATTCCTTTATACCGTGGCCTAAAAATACTGTTGTGTATTTTTATCTTCAAATCTATGTCAATATGAGATATTGTTAAAAAAGGCAAGTTTTAACATTATTGTTTCAGTGCCCTTGAAAGACTGATCCCAAGCTTCTTGCATGCTTAGAGCACTTGTGTTGTAAGATATGAAATCCATGGCTAGAAGTGGATAGATTGTTTATTTCCTGTCTTGACCAATCCGGCACTATGAAGAGCATACAGAAATACACTGACACTCTTTCCCAGGCTACAATTTCCTAAAAATAATACACTTGAACTATTTGTAAACAGATCGGGGTACAATGTAAGCACCAAATGGGTTTGTGTGTTTTTTTTTTTTCTTTTTCTTTTGGCTTCAAAATATGGGTTTGTGACAAAATATTATGTTTTGTAACAGTTTTCTCAAGAACATTTAATTAAAATGGCATCTAGAGTCACTTTACTTTACTGTGAGTCATGCCAGATCATATTCCTGCAAAATACAATTATTCACAAAATCCCTTTTGGATCCAGCAACTCGAACAATATCTTTCTATCCCATGATTCATCAGGAAAACTGGGCCTGATACAGCTTCATACAGAAGATAAAAGAGCTTTATAGTTCATGCTCAAATATACTAAAATAGACAATATGTTTATTTCAATGCATGGGCATTCCCTAAAAGGGAATGGCATGTGGAGTGAATTCCTAAAGGATCTAACAGGACCTCTGCTGGTGACTCTGTGCTACAACAGGTTGAATGTCCTGAGAATGAAAATGACATGTTAAATTAATAATATTTATTCTAATTCATCCCATCTGTTCCCATTAGGTCAACAGGGACATCGTGTCTGGACTGAAATATGTGCATCTGACCTACAGGAAAGGACTCAGAGGTAAGAGCATCTGTAGTCATGAATTTAAATGTTGGCAATTGGCGCTTAACAAGTGCTTGAGTCAAGGGTGTATTTGAAATCTTTATACACACATGTACTGTTTTAATGTGCATGATCTAAATCAGCATCTTGCAATGCCATTTTAAAGTACTATCTGAGAAACATGTTTCACTTGTATTTATATGCCATCATTTAGTCCAATAATAGAATAGAATAGAAAAATATCAGTCATAGTCAATAATCTCAATGACTGAGCCGCTTGAGCTGTATGGAGAGGACTAGGAGCAACACATCAATTTATTTATTCAAACATAAAAATTTAAATAAATGAATCTATTTTTTTATTAATTAATAGGCATATTTCAAATGGTTTGTTTAAATCATGTTTAAAGTGCAGTTAAAATAAAAAATACTAAAATGAATAAATCATTATTTAAAGGATTAGTTCACTTCCGGAATAAAAATTTAATGATAATTTACTCACCCCCATGTCATCCAAGATGTTCACATCTTTCTTTTTTCAGTCGCAAAGAAATTAAGGTTTTTGAGGAAAACATTCCAGGATTTTTCTCCATATAATAGACTTCAATGGTGACCAACGGTTTGAAGGTCCAAATTGCAGTTTCAATGCAGCTTCAAAGTGCTCTACACGATCCCAGCCGAGGAATAAGGGTCTTATCTAGCAAAACGATCAGTCATTTTCTAAAAAAATTCAAATGTATATACTTTTAATCACAAATGCTCATCTTGCACTCGCTCCACGATGCACGTCTGCAAATTCATGTAATTTAAATGATCAGGACATTTCTATTCTGGAAGTGAACTAATCCTTTAAATGGAAAAATAAACGGACTTATTTAAAATAGTTGAATCATGTTTTAAAATGTAGTTAAAATAATAAAATGATAAATTAGTTAATCATTTTTATTGATTAATTTTTTTAATTGAAAAATAAGACGACATTTCAAACGTTTGTTGTAAATGTAGTTAAATAAAACAATACAATTTAAATAAAAAAAAATACAAATAACTTTTTAATTTTGAACATTAAAAAAAATTGCTAGTTACATTTCTTTGTCCATTTGCCAATTACTTTTTCTTTGTCATTCTGTCAAACGCTTTACTTGATCCTTTTAACAATCAACTTAAAAAATGCCATTGGACAGGTTATTGTTGGGTGCAACCACCAATCAGCTTTTGATTTCTTTTTTAAGAATTTGACTCATTGATTTTTCTTTACCTGTAGTGGACAAGGCAGTGTACATGGTAGGAAGCTACGGTCCGAGAGCCGAGGAGCATGAGTTTATCACCCCGGTGGAGGAGGCTCCGAAGGGCATGATCGTTCGGGGAACCCACCACATCAAATCCTACTTCACAGACGACGACAAGACAGACCATCTGTCGTGGGAGTGGAACCTGCAAATCAAAAAAGACTGGGACAGTGCAGAGTAAAGAGGTTCTTCCTCTGTCTCTCTCTCTCCCAGATGCATAGCAACATACCCAATTTATCACAGATGTTTAAAACAGAGACATAGGCTAGGTAGATATGCAGCTGGAGCTGGCTTTGCAAGTGATTAAATAACAATTAGTTGTATAAAAAAAACTATGAAGATATTCCTACATATTAGGTATAATCAACGGTTGAGGACATACAGTGACTGGCAGGGTATTAGAGGCGACTTAGTACTTTGTAATAGATATAACAACGGTGTAACCAACAAATGAAATCCCTCATGCCTGTACACTCAGGTTTTAGTGTATACTGTAAATGTAAATATTGCAATGTCAGTATTCTTGCATTGCATTTAGAGTTCTTTACAGAGCCCATGACCAGATCAGTGCATGCTTGAATGTGAAGCCATCGTGTCTGCAATGGCTAATTTCTTGTATTATCGATGATGTAATCAGCCTGCGGTTACCTGATAAATACATGTGTAGGACGTGGTTTGTACTAAGTGTTGCTTGTCAAAAAAAGGTATTTCTGAGCATTAAACCCCTGTAGAAAAGATCAACTTAAGCCAGTATGAAGTTGTCCGGCTGTTCACCAGCAAACAATTCTGGTTCACTTTTCTTGCTGGTTAGTCCTGACTGGAACATCAGCTTCTCTAAAATGCAACATTTGCTGGTGATATCGCTGGTCTTTTCAGCTGGAAACCATCAGTGGAGCCCATAATCAAGCACCCTCTTCATTCCCTGAAACAGTTTAAGATCTGTTTATCTCTGTCCAGTTGTCTGTAACTGTCTTCCATCTAGCTTTTATATTAGATTGTCTCTGTTTTTTGTTTTTTTGACATTCCAAAATAAATACATTTATTGTTTATATGCCTGCTGATACTGTTACCCGACACTTCCATCTCCATCGCTGATTTTATTATCTGACACAAGAATATCTTGATTTCTCTTGAATAATTCCCTACTACACTATCATATTCAAAAATGTTAGATAATATTGCAGAATATTCCAAATACTCTGTGGAAATGATTGGGTTTTACTGTTTCTACAGAATAACATTTCTTTAAAAAGTTAATAAATGCCACGGGAAATGTCTTAACTGGCATGCGCATTATGTAATGCCTTTATGAGAGACAAATGCTGAATCATTAACTGTGAGCTAGTCAGCAAGACATACATATGAGAAAGCATGCAAAAGATTCGCTGAAAGGTTTTTTTTGTGAATTGTCATTTTTGATAACTGTGATTCCATATTCAAAATATAAGATGTATTTGATCAAATTAAATCCTTACAATATTTCAAAATATATCACATGATGTATATTTTCTCAAATTCATATTGTGACTGAAATTTTCTTCATAATTAGATGTCATTAGTCTGCTTGTGGTCTGTATTGCATGATGCTGCTTTTTAAAACATGTTAATTAGGGGTTTCTTTGTGATGTAATGGGGCAGCAGTAAACAAGAAAGTAAGATTTAATCGGCATTTTTCAGCTGACTGAATAAAAAAAATTCGATTGCTTCTGAGTTGTTAAACCTTTCATCTTGTATTTTTAATCAAGTTTGGCCTATCCTTATTTGTATATCTTGTTTCTAATGTTGCTGTTTAGTTCATGTAGTAGCGTTAGTAGCTGTTTATTGAATGCGAAACACACCACGTAGCAGTAATGGCTGGCAATGAAAAACGTTATTTCTGGTTTGCTGCAAACAAAACCAAAATATAAATAAAAGTTTCAAGGATGATAAGACAAACCACTGGAGAGAGTAACATGCATTTTGTTATAGCCTATCGCTTCACTTGAGTCTGCCACAACATGAACCGCCTTCCCAGCACGGAAGTTGCCAAATCACAATCAACTATATTACGTACACCATTGATGATTGGCTCTCTGAATGATTGACGTACTCACCAGCCACAGGATGTTACTGTCTAGAAGTCACAGTGTTGCCATGTCCGCCTTTTATAGCGCCTTAAGATTTGTCTTCTAATGAAATATGCTAATAAATGTGTACAGTCGCAGCGAAGCATTTTATAATTTTTTTAAACGATAAACGTTTTAAAAATTCATTTAGCTAATTTATTTGCAGAAAATGTGATGTTGCCTTGTTTTGGGTAAAAGTCACTTATTTTGAGAATGTTTTGCCAGTACAGTTTGCCTGCTTTTCTAGCGAGATCTGGCAACCAGTGTATTAAGCAGTTAAGTTTACATTTAGCGATTTAGCATTATCCTTTCAGCTGGCGAGATGTCATCAGTATTAAGGCTCTGTACCAAATTCAGCCCGTCTGGTAGGTGTGTCATGTTGCCTTATCTGCAACTTTTGTTGTTTTTCTCTTTTGCAGCGTCCATGTTTTTTCCGAAAGAAGTTTGCAGTAATGCATTCATTGAGGAAATAGGACAAAGGTCAGTAGGGTACAAAAGAGTTGTTTACGCCATCCTGTAGTTTTCAAAGCAGAAAGAAAGCAGAAAATCAACATATTATGACACATATTATGCCTTTTTTTTTTGTTATGTGTTGTAAGAAGTAAGAAGTTAACACCATGTCATTTAATAAAGGCACAGCACATCACTGTGCTCTTGCAGTACATATTTCCTGAAGTGTAATTAATAGTCAAATTAATAAATGCACTGGGTTAACATCCTGGCTTTTAGTTTTACATTTGTAAAATATTAGCAATTTCTTTTGCAGGATTTGTATCACTGTTGTCTGGAAACAGCAGTCATGGGAGAATCTGTGCTCTGCCATACACTGTATCTCAAAACAGATGTTTGCCATCCTCAAAAATTAAAGTGGACCTGGACAGTAGTAATGGTAAGAATATTAATAAATAATGTGCATAAATAATGGGTTTGCAACACTCTGCTACTACATATTTATCGAAAAAATCATTACCAGAAAATAATTTCTTCCAATTACAGGTGTTGCTATGATGCAGTTCCAAAGTCCTCCTGTCAATAGTCTCAGTCTTGACTTTCTGACAGAGTTTGCTATTAATTTAGAAAAACTTGAGCTGGACAGAAGCTGCAGGGGTGTTATCATAACATCCGTAAGTCATCAGAAACATCTGCTTTAGTGAAATCCAGTTTAGTCTATTTCATTGACAGTGCTTTTTTTTGTTTAAAGGCCCAGCCGAAGGTGTTTTCTGCAGGCCTAGATATCTTGGAAATGTATAAAAAGAGCCCAGAGCACTACGCAGAATTCTGGAAGGCTGTACAGGACGCATGGCTTAAGCTTTACGGGTCCACCAAGGTCACAATCGCCGCTATCAATGTGAGTGCCACTAAACTCTACTGTTTTATGATAACTGGATTTTTGTGTAAAATATTCCTTTAAGGTCAAATTGTGAGATGAATGAATGACTGATGTAATTGTTGTGTTTTTAGGGCTCCAGTCCTGCAGGTGGTTGTTTGTTGGCTTTGTGTTGTGACTACAGGATCATGGCTGATAACCCTCGCTATAACATCGGTCTCAATGAAACACAACTTGGTATAGTTGCACCTTTTTGGTGAGTATTATTGGTGTTTTTTTAAATCTTGAAATAATCCAATCAATAGGAGAAAAAAACAGCAACTACTATCTTCTCAATTGGATTCAAAAGTACTTTGCGCACATGCATAGTGCCGTGATGTGCGCGTTTTACCAGACTCATTTTATAATACTCCTTTGTAAATGAAAATGTGAATGAATCGGATTGTCAAGTTTAGGATTCATGTAAACACAGCTTTCAGAATTCGGATTGGATTTATTCAGATTGACAAAAATTAGTGCGTGTTAACATACCTACTGGAACACAGGATGGTATTAAATAGAGATTTTGTAAATCAGGTTTAAGGACACCATGACAAACGTTGTGGGCCATAGAGAAACCGAGAAGGGTCTTCAGCTGGGTTTACTGTACAGTGCTCCTGAAGCCCTAAAGGTCGGTTTGGTGGATGAGCTTGTTCCTGAGGATAAAGTTCTCAGCACAGCTACTGAGACCATGATGAAATGGTTGGCCATCCCAGGTAAATGCTATTAGCTTGCTCCAAAATATGATATTTTTGCCTGTTATAGTACATTTTGTTCATGTACAGTGTTTTTTTCCTACAGATCATGCCCGTCAGATAAGTAAGTCCATGATGAGAAAACCCACAATAGACAAACTTCTTGCAAACAGAGAAGCCGACACCACAAACTTTGTCAGTTTCACCACCAAAGACTCCATCCAGAAATCTCTTGGGTTGTACATGGAGATGCTGAAGAAGAGGAAGTCTTGAGGACCGAAACACGTGCCTGTTGTTGACGTTGCCTTTATGGAGCACATCAGTGTCACTGTATGTCACTCTTTTGTTACTAGAGGGTCACTTTGTAAATAAAATCTTTTAAAACCAAAGTACCGGATGGGATCTTTTTAGCATGCGAATAGTTGACAGCTTAGCTTATTCATAACATTTATTTGTTTCAATTCAGCATCAAGATTTTAAGATTCAAATTTTACATGCAGTATATGCATAAGGAGAAGCGTATATGTTAGGTCAAGTAAACGATTACAATTTATTTTAAGTATTTCTCTATTTTAAATCAACTTTTGTCTTTACTAGTTCATTTTAAATAGTCTTTTAGCTTTTAACACTTTATTTTACAGTATCCTCGTTACACTGTGACAAGAGCACCTTAAAATGTAACCTAAAATAAAAATATTTTATAAACACTGGAAAAAATAAACGTTTTTTTTGTTGTTGTTGTTGTAAATAAAGATTATTAGAGTACATTTTACAAGAAAACACTATTTCAGCTTTTCTACAATTTCACATTTATTTCAATATGTTACTTGCAATTTCTTTGAAATTATGAAATTTCCTAGCAGTTTCTGAGTAAAAATTGTTTCTACACCTTTTTTTTTCTTCAGTGTAGCTTTTTAATGGGGTAATAAAAACGGCATGCATAATAATTATAGAAGAATTTGGGGCTTATAGAAGAATTTGAAAGCTGCAATTTCAAATTTAATTATGTATTTCTTATAGCTATAGAATGATACTGTACAATTATTCGTTGAAAGAAAATGATTCTTTTTTTTGTTTTTCATTAAGTCTAAGACAGCACTACACATCAAGCATTAGCATTGCAGTGTATATCTGCTGCGAGGGAACAACCTTGATGTTTTTCACAGGAGCTTGACCTCAACAGGAAAGTGATCACTCACTGCCAGGGCCTGTGAAAGAGACATGAATGCTTCAGACAGAGGAATACACTGAGCAATAACTCAACTCTCCAGAGAGCTTCTTAGGTCTAATGTTTAGAATACTGAATCCCAATGAGGCAAACCCTACACTGTAAAAAAAAATCCGTAAAATTTACGGTAAAAAAACGGCAGCTGTGGTTGCTGGAATTTTACCGTAAAAACTAATATACAAAACTGATAAGAAAAAACTAAAAAACATAATTATTTAAACAAAAAAACATCAAATTTTAAATGTAACGCAGGGAATTCTGGGAATGTCAAATTACAGTTATTCACTGTAAATTATACAGACTTTTTCACTTCCAAAAACGGTATACTACCGTAAAATTAATGTCCAATACATGTAATGTCCAATACAGTTTTTCACCGTATATAGTAGGGGAATTTACCATTAACCATTTAACAGGTTTTTACTGTAGCATTTTTACAGTCTTTTACCGTTAAATTCACGGTCATTTTTTACAGTGTAACCTTACCCAACTTTGGCTCAATCCTTGGGCTTCTATGAAGTCAAAGACCTGCGCTGATCCAGCGGACACTCCTTTCATCATGTCAGAGGTGACTACAATCCTTTTATCAAGCATATTATGGGTCATTACATAACATAGGTTTATCTTATCCAGCAAAATAGCTTGTGATGTCTTCCTACCTGTCATATGGGCAGTTTGTGTGTGTGACCGTTGTGTCCACACTATCAGGGATGAGCCAGGTGTAACTTTGGTCAGTACGGAGGCGTATTTTGGACCAGTCTGAATTCGAAACGTAGCTACAGCCAGCATTGAAGTCTCCCAAAAGCATGATGTTCTGAAAAAATTTGAATTGACATAAATCGCCCAAATCATACTGTATATTAGCATAGTGATGTTCAGAACAATGTAAATTAAATTGAAATTTCTGTCATGTTAACAGGACTAGTTCATACAGTTCATACAGTACGCTATGCACCAGTATAGTTACATTTGTGTTCAGACGTTGTCTAGCATTCAAGACGACATCATGCAGAGCATCAATTTCCCGCACAGCGACTTCTGGGGATGTATGCTGGGGAATGAGGGCAAATTCCCGGACAGCTATAGAAAAGATATTTGTTTGTACTCAGTATTGAGCAAAAATAAGAATCCACTCAATAAGATTGTTGTTTAGTGTCACTGTGAGCTGTAAATTACTTTTAATAATTGAAATTCAATCCCTGCTAAATCCTTGATATAATCTAAATACAGTCATTGTATTTATATTGCATTATAAATACGATGTACACAACTGTTCAAGTTTGGGGTCTATAGGACTTTAAAAAAATGTTTTTGAAAGAAGTCTCTTATGCTCACCAAGGCTGCATTTATTTGATCATAAATACAGTAAAAAGAGTATTGTGTTAGAATAACTTTTCTATTTTACTATTTTCAAATGTAATTTATACCTGTGATGGTGAAGCTGAATTCTCAGCAGTCATTACTCTTGTGATGTTTAATATTTTTGTGGAAACTGTGATACATTTTTTCAAGGTTTCTTTCATGAGTAGAAAGTTGAAAGGAATAGCATTTATTTTAAATAGAAATCTTTTGAACAATTTAAAAGTCTTTGACTTGATACGTTTATATAAATAAATAATGCATCCTTGCTGAAAAAAAATAAAGTATTATTTCAGGGAGAAAATAAGGTCTTACTGACCCCAGACTTTTGAGTGGTTGTGTATATTCAACCCTAAATATGAAAATCACATCCTTTTCATTGCCATTGTGGCCTGTAGCACGGCTCTTAAAGGGGTCATATGATGCGATTTCAAGTTTTCCTTTCTCTTTGGGGTGTTACAAGCTGATTGTGCATAGATAAGATCCCTGAAGTTGCAAAGACTAAAGTCTCAAAACCAAACAGATATACTTTATCAAAGTTAAGACTCTGCCACGCCCCCCTAAAACGGCTCGTTCTAACACGCCCCCACATATCTACCTCACTATGTGGAAATATTTGCATAATGCCACCCAAATGCGCACGCAAAGAAAGAAGGCATGTTTTCCGTAACTGCAGTTAGTGTTGAAGCAGCCATGTCAGGGAGACGCTGTGTGTTTCTAGGCGAAAGCAAAAGCACTTTATTTGGCCTTCCGAAAGTAGATGCATTTAGGAATCTTTAAGATCACTTACAACAGAACTATTTAAAACAATAAAGTTTCACAATATTACAAACTCACAAAACAAAAAAAACTAAAATACTGCTAATAAAAATTTCAAAAAGCAAGCATTAAATCATCATCATCTACTGTACAAAGGACCTCATTTATCCCCCAAATGTACATAAAAGATTCCACACATTTTCATAGACTACAGCACGCTTTACACTATCCCTCCAACCATTAATGTTTAAAGAGCCAATCCTCAAAACCTCCATAAACAAAATTAAGATTGGAAATAAGGAGTAAATCATGATAGGAAAGTGAAGAAAAGACACCGTGTAGTATAATACATGATTATTTTAGACTTTTGATTTGCTCTTTCTCCTATTCATTGCTTTACCTTTTCTTATAGTAGTAAGATGCTTTTTCAGCCGAAAACGCTTTTTCTCACTAAGTTCCTCAACTCCAACAGTCCTCTGATAAAACATAACAGATTGAACAAATTTGTCTACATCAGAGAAGAAGTCATTTAGAGACCTCCTAGGCCTGAGACGCATTAAATGCAAGTCCTTGTGAACTACCATCATTTTCACACATAGAAAATAGAAACTCAGTATCATCAGATTGCTCCTCCTCCACATCCTCATTATTCAAGATGCCTAAATACGATTTTTCTTAATTACCATCATTTGCACTTTCCAACTGTTTAGTACCACTAGTACTGGCTACTTCAACAGTTTTAACATCAGAAACTAAATCAGTTACGCTACTCTTTGGGCCTACATTAGCTACATCAACATCATTTATAGTATCAACAGCCAGTAACGCAGCTGTGTTAACATCAACTGCAACAACTGCAACTGCACTCACCTCAACAAGTGGAACAGCCTCATCTTGGGCCGCATCAACCAGATCAACGCTATTATTTGCGACCTCATCCTCTGATCCTGCCACGTTCTCCACACCCGTTTTCTTATGTGGACACGTAAGGCGAGATAAAAGTGAAAACAATTCATTTAACCGAGTACACTGTACAAATAAATGAAAAACCGTTTCAACCTCTGTACAGAAGGGACAACCCACCCCTACAGAAGGATCAATGTGCACCACGTATCTGTTTGTGGCTATCGCCCCATGTACAATCCTCCACTGAAGGTCGCCTGTTCTTTTATCAATTGGGCGTTTGTATAAGGACCGCCAGCAGCCTCTAGGGGAAGAAACAGTTCCAAAAAATTCAGTCCATTTTGTTGAAGGAAGTCCACTCAAAAGATTAGCATTAGATGATTTTACACAGGAAATATAGAGGGCTTTTTTCCCTACTTCCTCAAAAACTCCAAGCTGAGGTGTTTTAAAAGACAAAAGACTCTTCCCATCATCTTGCCATTCTCCCACAGTAATAGTTACATTAAGAGAGGGGAAAACATAAGGAATCCCCTTTCTCCATTGATCAATTGCTTCCGAGTCATTTGTCAAGGTCTTATAATCCACATGCAAAGACTTAAATATTTCAGTAGTAGCTTGTTTCAGCAGCCGCAAGGATCTCACCCCAGTCCTTTTACTCAGTTCCTCTATGCTTGTATTCAAAATATGTCCCAACTTTGTGCATCCAGCAGCAGTTAAACATGCACGCAGACTGAGACCAGACATAAGTCTTGAAGGTAGAAAATCATTAAGAAAAAGTGGCTCTTCAAAAAGCCATAATCCAGCATGTGTATCTGATGAGCGTGAAATGGTAAACACTTTCCATGCTTCCAGAACTGACTTATAGAAAGATGTAAGATTCGCACGATCATCATTCTGGAGCTCCATTAAGAACAAATGTTTGTCCAATCCCATACTTTTGACCCGCCTGAGAAGAGCAGAAGCTGTCTTTAGCCATGATACATCTGTGTGATACAACAGTCTCTGAGCTGCTTGTAACCGGAAAGCCATAATTCTGGATCTGATGTCTATCAATCCTTGACCCCCCTCTTGAACAGGAAGGTATAAAGCAGCAGCACGAATCCAGTGTTGCCCAGACCAAAAAAAGTCACAAGTTTTCTTTGAATTTCCTCAATAAGTCCAGCAGGTGGTTGTAACACAGTTATTTTATGCCACAAAGTAGAAGCGACCAAATTATTGGTCACTAAAATCCTTCCCCTATAGGACAACTGAGGTAGCAACCATTTCCATTTAGACAACTTGCTGCACACTTTCTCCACTATACCCTCCCAATTTAGCTTTTGAAAATCATTCGACCCCAAAAAAACTCCCAACAATTTAAGTCCCTCCTTACCCCACTTAAGGTCCCCAGGTAACTTTGGGAGACTCTCAAACTCCCCTTTACCAGCCCAAAAAGCTTCACTTTTAGCCCAGTTCACTTTAGCTGATGAAGCTTTCTCATAAAGACTGAGTACCTCAGATAAACACTTAATATCTTGAGTGTGATTTACAAAAACTGTGATGTCATCAGCATAAGCAGAGAGAAAAATGTTTGAGTCTAAAGAAAAACCAGGCACTTTAAAACCTGACAATCTTTCTCGAAGTTTAAAAAGCAGCGGCTCAATTGCTAAACTATATAACTGACCAGACAAAGGACAGCCTTGCCTAATACCCCTTAGAATAGGAATTGGCCGACTCAAAGTGCCCCCTAACTTAACCATACATGATGCACCATTATATAATAACTGTATCAAATTTAAAAAAGTTTCACCAAAACCAAACACCTTCAATACATTAAAAAGATACTTGTGATCAACACGATCAAAAGCCTTCTCTTGATCCAGGGCAATTAATCCAACATCCACATTGAAACCATTACAAATATCTACAATGTCTCGCACTAAAAACAAATTATCCATAATAGACCTCTTTGGAATGCAATACGATTGATCCTTATGTACAACCAAACCCAAGTAATTTTTTTATCTATTTGCCAGACATTTTGAAAAAATTTTATATTCTGTTGTAAGAAGGGCAACAGGACGCCAGTTCTTTAAAAAGGCTAAATCCCCCTTTTTTGGCAATAATGATAAAACAGCATGTTGACAAGTAGTAGGTAAAACGCCATCTCTTATAGACTCGCATAAAACATCAAAATAATCGTGTCCAATGCAGTTCCAAAACCTTTTATAAAAATCTGCTGGCAGTCCATCTATTCCAGGGGACCGTCCTGAACTAAGTTGTCCCACAGCAGCAGTAATTTCCTTAAATGTTATACTAGCATCCAAGACAGTTTTAGAATCAGAGTCCAGCTGAGGAAGACCTTGAAGAAGCTGTGTCATCCATTCATTATTTTCACAGTTTTCTGCAGCATAAAGACTTGAATAAAAATCCACAGCATGGTTTCTCATTTCAATAGTCTTATACGTTATCCTCCCATCAGGGAGTTTAAGACATGGCATTTGTTTTTGTTGAGCCACCTTATATTCCAGGTTAAAAAAAAAAAGAATTCGTTGCATCCATTTCTGCTAAAGATATGAAACGGGACCTTATCAAAGCTCCCTTTACTTTCTCATTTAGGACCAGACTTAGCTCTCTCTTTTTCTTTTGTAAATCATTATACAGTACAGAATTATGTGCATCAACCATTTGCAATTCCATTGAATTAATTTGCTTTTCAAGTGATTCAATCACATTCTTTATTCTACTACTACAGTTGGCTGAATACTGCTGACAAAAAGTTTTTATTTGAGTCTTGCCTACATCCCACCACTGTTTTAAGTTTTCAAAATAACTTTTTTCCTTTTTCCAATTTTCCCAAAAGAAAACAAAATTATCACAAAAAGCAGCATCTTGGAGCAATTTAACATTAAAATGCCAGTAAACCGATTTTCTAGGTACATTTGACATGGTCATTGTCATAATAATTAGATGATGATCAGAAAAACCTACAGGACAAATGTAACACTCAATTACTCTACTATTAAAATATTTAGACACATAAAATCTATCTAGTCGGGCAGCACTAACTCTATTATTAAAAGCCTTAATCCATGTATACTGTCTATCATTAGGGTGTTTTATTCTCCACATATCCAGTAGCTGGAATTATTTTATAAGTTTTGACAATGCACTTGAGGACTGTATATGAGGTTCTTCAGTATTACGGTCTATAGTAAAATTTATAGTGCAGTTCCAGTCTCCACCAATGACAACATCCTTCACTGGAACACTTTTTAAGACTCTCATTAAGTATATTTAAAAAATGAAGGCGTTCCTGTCCCACTGTTGGTGCATAAATATTTATTAAAAAAACAAGCATTCCTTGAAATTGAGCTTTAACTACCAACAAACGACCCTTCACTGGTTTCTCTGTACTTATAATATCCACCCTTATGGTTGAAGAGAAAAAGATTCCCACCCCTCTACTTAAATTTGTACCATGACTAAGTATTTTATTTCCTTGCTAAATTTGGCGACAAAATCCCCAAATTGGCAACACTGGAGAGGCTCAATGGTGAAAAATGCATCCACCACAGCACATATAGATGACTAGTGGTTTTTAAACATTTTTTTTTTAAACCATAAAGTCACAGAAGAACTTTGCTTGCACAGATAATGAAGGACATCAGTTTGTTTTTCAATCAATCAATCAATCATTCAGTCAGTCAGTCTCTCTGTCTGTCTATCTATCTATTTATCTATCTATCATCTAGTTATAGAATGTGGACACAGACACAGACCCCTTATGAAAATTAACGATGGTTTTACTAAAAAAAAAAAAAACACATTTACTATAGTTAAACCATGGTAACCAAAAATTAACCATGGTTTTGCTACACTAACCATAGTTTAACCATGGTATTTGTAATAAAACTGTGGTTATACAAATGGTAATCAATACGTCAAAAAAATGGTTACTACACTTTCATAAGGGACTGACAATGCAAACAAGTGTTAATTGACAGATATGATGATGAGAATGTTAATCAGACTTTCCTTGTTCACAGATGCAGGAGATCGTGGACGGAGGAGCTGAAGGGGATTGAGCACACACCTCGTCGAGCAGTTAGGTATCCAGGTAATGTTTTCAACCAATTCAGTTCAGACAAGGAAGGGAAGACACACTGGTGGGGATCGCTGGAGACAAACGCTGGAGATAATCGATGGAGTTCAATGTAGCAGTCCACTTTGAATGAACAAAACCAGACAAAGAGGAGAGACGAGGTGTGTGCTTAAATAGAGGTGCTGGTGAGTGAACGGGATGAGCAGTAGGTATGAGTGATCAGGAAATTAGGTCAATGTGCAGGCTGTGTGTGAGTGACATGGGGAGAGTCAGGTAGAACATAGAACCTGGCCGATCCGTAGGTAGGGTGGGCGCCCTGGAGTTGGGAGAGTGACAGGTAAAGTAGAGGTGACCAGGGTGGTGTTGGCAGGATGGGAGTCCTCCAGGCCGATACCGGCGACACTAGAGACCAGGGATGTGCCGGCATCACCAGAGGCCAGGGTGGTGCTACCAGTATATATATATATATATATACTGCATACTGTATAAAGCCTCCATGGGCGGGGTGGCATTAATGCACGGGCTTACCTGGGCTTAAGCTCAGGGCCTCGGGCTGAGGAGGGCCCCCGGTGATGCCATAAAATATTGTGACCTCATTTTATAATGAGTTGACTGTTCCTTTAAATTGGCGCTTTATCACTCTGCTTTGAATGCACGTGCGCAAGCCGAGAAGGGTCAGTCAAACGCTCCCAAATATGAAAGAGAAAAGAGAAAAATTGCCAAAAATAAAGTGGAAAGTCAGTCAAATTTGTTCTTTGTCCTTTTTCATCTTAACATAGTTGAACTCGCAGTAGTTAGTCAACACACAGCTGTGTAATATTATAATTTTTATGATGCATCGCGATGCTGATGTGAACGATTCTAAATAGGCCTATCAAACATATTAATGTACTGTTTTATTGTAAATAAAGTACACTTGTTAAAGGCTAATAAACAAAAGTTGCGTATGCTTATGCCTTTGGAAGCAAAGCACTTAATTGCGCCAAGTGTTTCCAGATAATCGTACTTCTATCAGATAATAAACTTCTTTAAAGCAAGATTCTTTTTACGAAAATAAAATGAATGAATGAGAAAATAATGTGGGACATGCTAAAACTAGTTTTTAAGCACAATAGGCTAAGCCACAAAAAGATCTCAATGTGTTACTGACTGACACACCCGAAGCGCGCACACAGAAACTGCCTCTCAGACAGCATGCAACACTGAATAACTTCAAAATATTTATTTGTGTAAACATAGACAGCTATCTCTTAAGTGATAGGAAACGGTTGTGGAAAAATATGATGTGTAACATATTAGATCTCTGATTTAGATCTTATTAAGATCTGTGATTTCTTAATATAATACACCTGCTGATCTCTGTGTCATTAATGTTAATCAAACAACGAAAGAAAAGAGGGAATCACTCACTGCTGTTGACCAATGAGTGTCGGGCTAGTGGTTCAAAATTTTACTTGCTCTGCCACAAAAAATAAAATTGTTTTGTTATCGTTGTTTTTGACACCAAAATTTTAGATACCACTTCAATTTTACAATTCTCAAGTGGGACATGCTAAAACTAGTTTTTAAGCGCAATAGGCTAAGCCACAAAAAGATCTCAATGTGTTACTGACTGACACACCCGAAGCGCGCGCACAGAAAGCTGCCTCTCAGACAGCATGCAACACTGAATAACTTCAAAATATTTATTTGTGTAAACATAGACAGCTATCTCTTAAGTGATAGGGAACGGTTGTGGAAAAATATGATGTGTAACATATTAGATCTGTGATTTAGATCTTATTAAGATCTGTGATTTCTTAATATAATACACCTGCTGATCTCTGTGTCATTAATGTTAATCAAACAACGAAAGAAAAGAGGGAATCACTCACTGCTGTTGACCAATGAGTGTCGGGCTAGTGGTTCAAAATTTTACTTGCTCTGCCACAAAAAATAAAATTGTTTTGTTATCGTTGTTTTTGACACCAAAATTTTAGATACCACTTCAATTTTACAATTCTCAATTCCAATTTCGATAACACAGAAAAACTACTAGCCTAACAAAGATAAAGAACAAATTATAAGCAATTGCACAAATAAATAATTAGAAAAAGATACAAATTAAATAATGCTTTAGGTTTTTAGGTTTGTAGGTGTTCAGGTACAGGAACTGAATAATCAAATGTAAAATAACATTGCATATTCTTCACTGTATCGTGTAAATATAGATTAATCCTTGTTAAAACCAGAAAAGGTATTCAGTAAAGAGCAGTGAGTGATTTTCTCAGTTTTATTTATTTATTTTCACATTTACTTGCAAATACACGTGTATATAATAAACATTCGTGATGCAGCAGTGGCTCGATGAGGCCAGTGACAAATCCATCAACTGTCCTGAGCGACTTTTGAGTCCTTATTGTCGAGCCTGTGGCCTTAATTTTAAATAAAAATGCAAAAATACAGCTTTGATGGTGAACACTTAAAAAAGTACTGTAGCATGTTACAAAGGTTTCACTCATTAATATTTGCCTAATTATTGCAAGAATAACTGCCATGATTAACAATATTTTACATATTGTGTAGAGTAAGATTTGTGAAAACATAAATGAACTTACCATCCTGATATAAAGATTCACAAGCAGAAAGACATATTTGTGAAGGTGTAAATCACAGAACGATTTGTGGAGGTGCACATTTACCGTCACTAATTTACCTTCCTACTCTGTTCCTTATTTAATGTTAAATCATAATGCATTTAACCAATGTTAACACATACAATTTAATACTACACGTTTTTCTAGATATCTGTGTAAAATATGTCGGACTATGTGCATATGTGTAGTTTATGATATTTTGTGGATTTTATATGACAGACCTAGGTTTGGATATTTTGTTAATGGCATTTATTACTGCAAAATAAAAGGCTGACAACTTGCATGAATGTAGGCTGAGGTTCTGGTGGGTGAAGGGCCTCTGGGTAAAGCCCAGGGGCCCCTTACAGTCTTAATGCGGCCCTGTCCATGGGCATGAAAAGGGAGGTGGGTGCATTGGGAACACTGGAGCTAGGAACGGCATCCTTGGCCATGACAAAGGAGTAGGAGACGCTGGAGTCAGGAAAGGCCACCGCGGCTGTGACAAAGGAGCAGGAGACATTGGAGTTAGGAACAGCCTCCGTGGGCGAGATGAAGGAGCAGGAAACACTGCAGTCAGGACCAGCCTCCTTCACTGCCAGGATATGTCCCCCCCCCCCACCCCAAAATTTTGGGGGGGGAAATTACGGCATGTGTGCTGCCCAAACACACATAGAAACCATTAGAGACAGAGCACATGGTATTTCTGGCTAAGTGATCGCTTGATACAACTGCGCTGTGAACACTAAGCTTGGCTCTGGGGCGTGATTGGGCTCCTGGTTAAGCTCTGGGGCGTGGGCGGGCTCCTGGTTAAGCTCTGGGGTGTGGGCGGGCTCCTGGTTAAGCTCTGGGGTGTGCTCAGGGATTTCACTGTCTGGAGCGGACTCTGGGTTGTTTTGGGTTTTGCTCAATATAATGTTAAGTGGCAGATCAGTGGGTGTTGCTGCAGTTGAATATCTATAAGAGATGTTCTCTCTCCCAGATGAAAGCTAAGATACTATGTGGAGGATGCAAGATAGTTTAATAATTATAGAATGACCGCATGGTGAACCTATGAACCTAACTCATATTCACCAGTTTTGTGTTGTTGGCCAGATAAAATGACAGTGAAAAGAAAAATGGACATAAGATAATTTTTCAGTGCACCAAAACACCAAGTACGAAAAGTCCCCATATTAAGGCAATTTGGTCTAAGGCAAAACATCTTTGTGTCCCCTTCAAAAATTGCTCTTGAGAAAGTTTGTTTATTGTCCACCCCAACTGTTAGATGAAATTTACGCCCATGGGCAAAAGCTAAAAGAGTGGTCACACCAAACGTTGATTTCATTTAGATAATAGAAGTTAATTGATAAAATCTATTTATGAAATTATTTTTGAAAGCATCCTCACTTTCCAGCAGTGCCTAAAACTTTTCACAGTAGCTTTGCAGGGAGGTTTCTTCAGGAGTCTTGGAGACATTGCCACAGTTCTTCTAGATTTAGTCTGTTTTTTTCTGTTTCTTCATGTAACGTTAATCCCAGACTGGATGATGGTGAGATCAGATCTCTCTGTATGGAGCACTGGCTGTTGTCAGACTCCTTGTGCAAACAAAAATCTCACTGGATTATTACAATTAATGGCAAAAGGAATGTTTGGAAATGTAAACTGATATTTCCTACTGACATATTACAGCAAAAGATAGAAATAACTGGCTTAAAACCATTTTTATTGTTGGTGAAAATACTAATGACCTAAGACTTTTGCACAGTACTGACTATCGCAACTATATGTAAATTGTCTAGTTTTATCATGTTCAGATAGCTTCTTAACATGAGTATAAGGTTTTAAGGCAACAGACTTGGGCCGGTGTCTTTTGGCACAACTGACTCTTTTTTTAAGATTAAAAACACTCAATTAAGATGCCATATATACAGTATGTATGTGTGTGTGTGTGTGTGTGTGTGTGTGTGTGTGTATATATATACATATATATATACACACACACACACACACACACACACACATATAAGAAAGCCATGAAATGTACTATCACTTTTAGTGAAGCTATATGGTAATACAATATAGTGAGAGCAAAAAAGCTTGGACTAGAGGTTGAACTTACTAGTTTACAGACAGACAAAATTACATTTTACACTAATAATTTATTCCTATCACTCATACTGCAAATGATTAAAATGGCATGTACATATGACATATGATGAAAGTAAGATTTTTTATCATGTACAGTTCATAAAAGACGTTTATCTGAACAGTGCTTGGGACAATTCCTTAAATATTCAAATCAGGGGTGCGTTTCCCAAAAGCAACTATGGTCGCAAGTTCTGTTGTTACCAATAGAGTTAAATGGAATTACCACCATAGTTAGCTAACAATGCTTTTGGGAAACGCACCCCAGATCAGCAGTGATGACAAGCACAAAATTGGATCCTGTTATAGCTGTTAAACTAGTGGCAAGTTGAGTTTGATTCTTATTGCAGAGTACTACACCATGCACAAAGTTTTAGAAACAATTACACATATTACACAATTAAACAGTGAGGATTTTTATATCTGTATAAATGAGGCAAGGAATCTGTGTGTGTGTCCTGTTTGCCGCTTTTCTTGACAATCGTTCATCCAATCTACTTCACACTCGAGTCGGCAGGTGTATTGCTGGTGCAGAAGCAAGTGTGTGCGGTGTTGAGGATGGGATTGTTAAGATGAGTGGTCCTTTACTACAGTATGTCTTAGTCCTCTGCAAGCTTTTGTTACCAGGGGTGCTAACAGTGCATTCACAACAGTGATCATATGCATAATTATTAGGCAAGTCTATTTTCTGTTCATATTTTTTTTCCCAAGCACAGTTTACCAATTCCAAACCACATCATTCTTAATAACTACTACTCATTTTTGTATGTAATAATTTTATAAGTGACATATAATTGTTAAAGAGGGCTGGAAGTTGAAAACGCCTTATATTAAGATGTGGATCATTAGCCGGATCAGCAGGATCACAAAAACAGGTTGAGAAGAAAAGACATTAGCTGCAAAAGACGTTAAAAATTAAGGTGAATAATTAGGTGTGAAACTAAGAATTAAACCATCAGGAAACCTTTATCCACCATTTTCCAGAACTGCAACCTACTGGGAGTCTCCAGAAGTGCAAGGTTTCAGTTTCTCAGAGACTTTGATTCCTGTAATCTAGTAATTTTGTCCTGCTTTGTGTGTAACAAAGATAATGTTCATTCTTAAATCATATCTGCTTACTGCTCATAGGTGTGAAGTATAAAACTGATATAACAGAGAAGAAAAGCAAGGGGAAAGGTGCCACCTGATTTATATGATAAAAAAAAATACACAACTAATTGCATATTACACGGATTCATTTAGTATTACAAAGCAAGGAAGGCAACGTGTAAGCCTTACACATATGAGTCACAGTGAGGCATACAGTTTATTATCATGCTCCACTGTGGAAATTAGTGCACGTGACATCAGTGTCACACACTGTATAATATATATATATTAGTGCTGTCAAATGATTAATCGCCATTAAGAAAAAAAAAAGTTTTTGTTTGCGTAATATATGTGCGTTCTGTATATATTTATTATGTATCCATCAATACACACACATACAGTATATATTTTGAAAATATTTACATGTCTAATATTAGGCTATTATATAGTATTGTAATTATATAGTGGTTCAACGCATTATATTGTTTTTTTTTTGTCACAAATCGGACTATTTTTTTCGGATAAGCAAGAAAAAAAATATTTAAAGCACAGAGAATGACAATGCCATGAAGGGTTTTTGACAGGCTAATTTTATGTGTATGTATCAGGTATGTATATGCAACTCGGTATTTCCGCACTGTCTGAAACACGTCTCTTGTGTGCGCTTTGTGTGCGAGAACAGCGCGTGAGCAACGACTTGAGCTCTCTTTCGTTTCTTCTTCTTGTGGTTTAAAATTGCGTGTACGTGTAAATTGGCAAATTAATCTGCTAATCACATGCGTGCCGAACGGTAGGGTCTCATCCGTACGTATTACAGATCAACTGCGATCCGTTTAACTCCTAATATGTGACAGACCAGAGCAATCTTTCATTTACTTATTTAACATGAAATTGTCAAATTGCTACTCCTATCAATCGCATACAAAGAAAATACAGAAAATTAGAACAATCATTAACATAACAGAGTGTGTCATAGCCTATCTATACACATTTTTCCCAGAACGTTCTTGCGACCCTATAGCAATTCTTCCACGGCCCGGTAGTGGGTCGCAACCCGGTGGTTGGGGACCTCTGCTCTAGGCAATGTCTAGATCTAAAAAAAGAAAACGCTACAATGAAGATGAGAGTGGAACAAATACAAAAGAAAGTTAATGAAACGGAGCAAAAGGTGAATGATGCTGATCGGTATAGCCGTCGGTACAACCTTCGTGTATATGGAGTAGCCGAAGAGCGGGAGGAAAACATCAAAGTTAAGGTGAAAGAGATTTGCTGTGCAGCAATTCCAGGCAGTGATGGTGAAGCAGTCGCGGCAGCAGTTGATGTGGCTCATCGCATCGGCAGAATAGGCAGTGGAGGAAAGAACCAGTTTCCAAGGCCTGTGATCGTCAGATTTACGTCTAGATCAGCAAGGGATGCTTTATGGAAAGGCTCCAAGAACAACGAATTCCTCAAGAGCAGAGGTTTTCAAGTGAAGGAAGATCTAACAGCTGATGACAGGGCAACACGTGCTCATCTGTGGCCATTTGTGGAGAAGGCTAGGAAGAATGGAGAGAAAGCTTACATAGTAGGTAACAAAGCATTTGTGAATGGAAAAGAAATTAAAGGATGAACATTTTAGTAGGGTCCATTTCTTCACCAATAATCAGAGACTTCAGGTACTGACTGTTTATCTGTTAGATACTGTTTCTTATGACTGCTGAAGTCAAAAAAGACTGTTCTGAGTTATTGTTAATAAATGCAACAAGTATAGTGTGTGACATCTTATGTTCTTACTAAGTGCACTTGCAGGATATGTTAACTTTTTACTTTGTTATTGTTCATGTCAATTTCAATTTTTTCGATTAATGCCAGAGGTATAAGAAACCAACTGAAAAGGAAATCTTTATATTTGTATTGTCAAAGCAAAGGTGCAGACTTTTATTTTATTCAAGAATCTCATTCTTGTGAAGCAGATGTAAATTTTTGGAGAAGTCAGTGGGGGAATGATGTTTGGTTCTCAATTGGTACGAACCAATCTGCAGGGGTAGTTATATTAAAAGGTAAATTCAAAGGACACATTCACAGTAAGCAAACAGATACTGAAGGAAGATGGATAATTCTGCATATTAGTATTGATCTCTCCCAATTTATTATAGTAAATATTTATGCCACAAATAATAAGCAGAAGAATAACCATTTGTTTTTAACAATTGAAAGTAAAATTAACCAACTGACTTCCAAATTTCCTTGTGCAATGATTATTTGGGGTGGGGACTTTAATACTGTTTTGGATGAAGAAATTGACAGATGGCCTCCTAAAAACAATGTAAAAACAAGTATATTAAAAGACATATGTGCAAGAATGGATCTTTTAGATATCTGGAGATATACTTACCCACATCAAAGAATGTATACCTGGAGTAATAATGATCTGACTAAACACTCTCGTATTGATTTTTGGCTAATTTCTGCAAATAGTGCCGATGATATTGAATTAGTGAAAATTGAAACTTCAGTATTAACAGATCATAAGGCTATAATGATTAAACTCAACAAAGATGCTGAAAATCCGTCTGGTCCTAAAACAAACTATTGGAAATGAAATAAAACCTTGTTAAGAGAATGAAGGGTTTAAAAATAAAGCCATTGAAATTATAGAAAAATATTGGAAACGGGCATGTATTCTTAATAAATTTGGTCAAAATTGGGAATTAATGAAATCACTGTTGATTGTTTGTAGAAATAAAGTGCAGCAAGAAAGCCTTACGACTGAATAAAATCGATAGTAAGAGACTGCAGTGTATTTGAGTACAAAAAATTGATTCGAGGAGTCATTTCAGGGATACCTACAGACATTTCAGAAGAACAAATGAAAGATAATATGACAGGGGCAAAAGTTTTGGAAGTAAAACGCCTTACAACAACTAGAAATGGAGAGAAATGCAACAGCTTGTCTGTTATGATTAAGTTTGATGAATCAAAACTTCCTGGCAATTAAGTTGGTTTGCCAACCGCCAATAAAATTTAAAGAAGAAGAAGCGCCTACTACGGTCACAGAATTTGGTGTAACACCGGAAGTGTCTGCCCAGAGTTTGTCGAAGTGCTAACGGCTACGCTAATGCATTTCAGAGCGCAATACGATTCTCTGACTGAATGTGTCATCTCCATCCCGGACACAAATTTACACACTATCGCCATGCTACCGCAGCAGTGAACCTTCTTCACGGCAATAAAAAGAAACGACTGCATATTCTTCTGCTTATCCAAGCGGTGAAACTAGGCAGGTTAGGAATTATTTCGCATCCTAGCTAATGATTTCTGCATACAGCTGTTAGCATGGAAACAAATAAAGGAAACTCGACTGACAGACTGATTTTTTGAATGCACTGCATTCCCACATCATGCTATTATAGATTTTTTAAATCTTCTAATAATTTTTTTTAGTTGGCTCAATAAAATCCTAACTAACTAGCTGCTAGCTTGTGAGATTATGAGGTTGTCGTTCAGGTTTGGCTTTGTGTGTGTTTATAAAATTACTCAACAGTGTTTTGAATTGTGTTTGCTGTTCCTCGAGTTGAAATAGATTACAATGAAGTTACTGTAATTGACTTCTCCTTATGTGTCAGTATCATGTCAGTTGTGTAGTATTTGTTCAATTCAGTTAATTTAATTTGCTTATTATGGCAAAATGTTTCTATTTACTTTAATATCGTATAATATGTTTCTGTTTTTCTTTACAGAAGACAACATTTGAGTTGACAGTAAACTGAAAGTAGCATGTTTACACATCACATTTCTCCTCAGAGTGACTATTTCATTGGTAGTGAGATGATAATAAACAAGTAGCTAAAAGCTTTTGAAAGCAAGTTATTGGGCACGATTTTTACACATACTGACCGCATTGTCCCAATCCATGAATCTTTTAACACATAATGGACTGAAAACCTATTCAGCTTGTTTTGCACTGCTGAACTCTTCATCTTAATTTGTTCTTTCAGGTGTGAATGACAGACGTGGTGTCTACCACCGCCCTCAGTGAAATAAAGCTCCGCCTACTCTGCCACGATGACATAGAGAGAATAAAAGTGCTCTGTGGCGAGTGGTTTCCCATTGAGTGAGTGCTAAAACATCTAACCAAACCATCCTTTTACACAGGTCATGTACAACACTAACACACTCTGTTATTGTTTTTGCTGTGTTTTAGGTATCCAGACTCATGGTACCATGACATCACATCAAATAAGAAGTTCTTCTCTCTGTCTGCCACCTTTAGAGGTGGAATTGTCGGGATGATTGTGGCAGAAATAAAAAGCAGAACGAAAGTGCACAAAGAGGTACAACTTGCATATGTATACTGAGACAGTGACACAAAGAGGACATTCTTGTTGTAATGGTGCAGTACATTCTGTGCTTAAAGGAGTAGTTCATTCAAAAATGAAAATTAGAAAATTTACTTAACCCCAGGCCATCCAAGATGTTACATCCCTTTCTCCCCGGTGGATCGCCTGCAGTGAATGGGTGCTGTCAGAATGAGAGTCCAAACAGCTAATAAAAACATCACAATAATCCACACGACTCCAGTCCATCAATTAATCATTAAGATGTTTTTATCTTCAAACAAGTCCTCTGTCCATAAGATTTCGTTCTCCAGTGAAAAGGTTGTCTCGTC